ACTACTACTACTACTACTACTACTACTACCACTACTACTACTACTACTACTTCTACTACTACTACTACAGAATCCATCAGCCCTATTTCTTACTGCTGGCGGCCGTGACCTGTACTCCTTGTTGAACACTTGGCGTTCCCTGAGGCTCCGGCTAAACTACCATCCGAGTCCCGGAAAGCGTTGCTGCTCAACCACTTGCTGCCCACTGAATTCCAAGCACACGAAAGGGCCAAATTCAAATCCATGATTAGTGCTGATCATGTTTCCTGCCGTGAATTCATCCTACAGCTGAACAAACAAGCATCACGCTGCAACTATTGTGATCGCCTGGAAGAACAAATCTGTGACCGCTTGGTGACAGGCATCAATAATCTGACTGTTCAACGGAAGTTTGCTGGAGAAGAAAGATTTGACTCTTGCCGATGCCCGCAAGATCTGTGAGCAGCACGAAGACCTGATGAAAGCTACTTCCAGCCAATCAGTCACATTACTCCTACGGCGGAGGACACCACCAAACCAACTCCCAATGGCCAAGTGTATCCCGAAGCCGCAGCACGACTCTTCAGGCAACGAGAAACGTATCAATCCCTGTTTGTCATGTGGAGCTTACCATATGCGCTCCAATTGCCGCTTTCGAAATGCCAAGTGTCATGCATGCGAGAAAACTGGCCATATTCGGAGAGTGTGTAAACGCCCCCCCCCTGCAATCTTGCACAGCCAACTGCTGCGAATGACACAAATCTTGTGCTCTCTCTACGATCCGAAAGCCAAAGCACCCAATTCCTATACACAGACGTGACATTACAGTCCGGCACAACGCACAAATTCAGTGTTGATACGGGAAGCACGAAATCTATCATTTCTATTGCTGTGCTTCGGTCATTCTGTCCCCAAGCCGAAATCCATTCGACATCCGTGCGAATCCTTGATGTGATTGGACACAAATTGCCATTGATTGGTGAGGTTTCATTGATGGCACATTCGACAGAAAATCGCCTTGTTTCCATTCGCTTCCTAATTACCAAAACAGTCCATCCATACTGGGCTTAACTGCCATTCGTGAATTGAACCATTGTGTGTCGCTCAATACAAGCTCTATGTCCAATATACACACCCATCTACAGCGCCTGGTCGTGAAATGTTCCAACAATACACGAGGTATGAACATACAGCCGACCAAACTGGAAGTTGATGGTGAACACATTTTCCTGAAACGACGTGTAATTCCCTACGGCCAACGTGATGGTCTACTACAGGCCCTTGAGAAAATGCAGCGCGATGGCATAATCACACGAGTCACATCCAATACGCGGGCAACGCCAATCGTGATCGCGATCAAAAGTGACGGCAAAACACCGCAAATTTGTGGCGATTACCGATTAACCCTCAACCCGCGGTTGCGAAAGTGTGCGGCTATCACCATGGAACCAGGGGATTTCATGAAAGCATTGCACAGTAGCACATGCTTCTCGAAGATCGACTTAGTTGATGCATACCTCCAGATTCCTCTCGCCCCAACCTGCCGGCAATTCAACCACTATCGACACACCATGGGCACTATATCAATACAACTTTCTACCATTTGGTCTCCACACAACCTGAGGCATATTCCAGGCGGCGATTGACGAAGTCATCCGCGGGATCGATGCCGTGTTAGCGTACCACGACGACGTCATTGTGTTTGGCACAACGAAGGCCGAGCATGACGATAGACTCCTCAAACTGCAGGAGCGGTTCGACCAAAAGAACGTGTCAATTCGCGCTTCCAAATGCATGTTCAGCTCACCAGAATTGGAATGTTTGGGCTTCGCTGTGGATGCAAAAGGCTAACTGTGATGTGTGACACTGACCTCGAAATTCCTTGTACACTTTAAATGCATTGAATGTGTATAGTATACGATTCAAATAAAGTTCGTGTGCTATTCTATTCGAAGTTGTTCTA